GGGGTCTCTGGGCAGATGGACACTCCTTGGGGTGTCAATTAACCTGCCTCTGCCTCCATTTCCTCTTGTCTTAATGACTGTAATCATCCTTCCTGCACCATGAGTCTGGTTAGATCGTCAGGACTTGGCTTTAGGTGGGGGCTTTTTCTCTCCGTGTCTGTGCAGCACCCAGCACCTCTGACTCCCAGCCCCCTCCCGATCTAACCACTAACCCCACTCCCTTCCCAGAGCCGGGGATAGAACCCAGGTGTCCTGGCTCCCAGGCTTTTGAACCTTTGACCGTCACTCCACTCCCTGTTTTTTCATTAGTTGTCCCCAGAGATTAGTTGGTTCCTGGGTCCAGTGGTCCCTCCCGCTAGGCTCGGGAGGGGCCTTTAGAAGTGGGTGGGCTCGCGCCTGCCCACCTCCCAGTTGTTTCCAATAAGGGGGTCCTGGCTCCCAGGCTGTGGGGCCCGCAATAAATAGATAGACGGGTACAGAGGGTGCTCTGGATTTTAGGCAGTTTCGGGCGTAGTTCCCAGGAATCTCTGGGATCTCAGAGAGGTTCCTCTGGCTGGATTTTCTCTCAGGGCCCCGTCTCTGTGCGGTGAGGACGGGGTGCAGTGACTGTGCTGGGGTCTGTCTCACAGCCTGTTTCCTTCCCACTGCAGAGACCTACTACACCAAACCCTCCATCTCCCTGCACCCCAGCGGGGGGGTCACCCCGGGGGGAGCCGTGACCATCCGGTGTCGGGGTCGGCACCAGAATGTGAGGTTCCTTCTGTACAAAGATGGGAACCCGAACGTGCTGCAGGAGACGGAGCCTGCTGGGGACGTGGCTGAGTTTCCCATTCACAGCGTGAGCCGGAGAGACGCAGGGAGCTACAGATGCTATTATCACTCCAAATTGTACCAATTCATCTGGTCACATCCCAGTGACCCCGTGGAGCTGGTGGTAGCAGGTGAGGGGCTCGGCTCAGTATCCCCGCTCCCAGCCCCACACCCAGCCGGACCCTTAGGGGCAGGGGCATGTGCAAGGGGGGCAATGAGGCACAGGGCCCCCCAAATCAGTGGGGCCAAAACACAGAACTCCTTCGGGGAGCAGAGGCAGCTCCTCTGGCTGCAGGGACACACAAAGTGCCCCTCCAAAAGCGGCCACAATTTTTTTCCTGTGCATGCCCCTGATCAGGGGGTCTCTGCGCCAAAGGGGGAGCAGCAGCTCCTGGAGATTCGAGGCGGAGGGATGGGGCATCTCTGCCCATGGGGGAGCTGTAGAGCAGGGGCCTATCCCAGGGGGATGCTCCCCTCGTTGCCCCCGCTCTGGGGGCGCACAGAGGAGTCAGGCCCAGGGGCTGCCCAGCCGGCCCCGCCCCCAGCCTGTGACTGCATTCCAGGGCTGGCTGCGTGATGCCCACCGGGGCTGGAGGCTGTCGGGTTAAAGAGCAGTGGGAGCTGCACACGTTGGCTGCTCAGAAGCAGCCTGGAAACAACAGCTGTGGGGAGACCCCCAAGGATTCCCGGGCAGTGGACGTGGGGGGAGCTCGAGCCTGGGGCAGTACTTTTTTGTGGTGGGGTGTCATTGACTCACAGGTTTTGCCCACTCTTGGCCCTGTGCGGTCCCTCGGGGGGAACCCCCTGCAGTGCAACAGCTCTTCTTGGGGGTCCACTCTCTCTTGGGGGTTAAGCCCCTCCACGTCCTGGAACTGCACTTCTCTGAGCCTTAGCACGCCTGTCTCTCGCCGTGGGCCCCTCAGGGAGTCCCCTCGCTCTGGACCCCCGGGGTCTCCACTCCCAAAGGGAATAATGCCACCCTGTTCTCTAGCCCGGAGTGACTCTCAGCCAGTGTAAAACAGGAGGGTTTATTGAGCACTGATCACAGCACAGGAAACTCTCAGGGCCTCAGGCCTGGCCTCCCTCCGCACAGCACACCCCACCTCCCTCAGCACAGCACATCCCAGTCTCCCCTGCATCCCGATGGACTCTGCCTGCTCTCACTCTCCAGCCCCGAGCCCCCCTGCTTCCCAGCTGGGCATCTGATATCATTGGCCCCAAGCCCCACCTCTGTCCTTTGTCTTCCGTCCCAGGTAAACAGGGTCACCTGGGCCTCCTCTCCTCTCATCTGTCCTTTGTTCCCCACTGGCTGGAACAAGCTGGTCAGGTCACCAGGGTCCTCGCTCCGCAGCCCATTGTCCTCACACAGAACTGGCTGTGGCGTCTGAGCTGGGCCTCCCAGTCACCAGGACACCAGTCGCTGGGGTATTCATTCTCCAGGCCATTGGCTGGGGTCCCAAGTTCCCTCTCCGGTCCTCTCTACCAACAAACTCCCTCTCCCCTCATCTTGTTAAACCAGTAACACCCAGGGAAACTGCGTCCCACCCCAACTGCATGCAAACCATTGAAAAAACCATGAAAATCACCCACTTCGTCACACAGGGAGAGAAAGAAAACAGTGAGGGACAGCAGCTCCTCCCCTGACCCAGAGCTCCTGGTGGAAATGGCTGGCAGAGTTTGGAGGGAGGCTGCCCAGCACTGAGAAAGAGACACCAGCAGCCAGCGCCGTAGCAACCGGCACCAGAAATGAAGGGACCCAGTGAGCAGGGAGCCAGTAGAAAGGGACCTGGTGGTGGACCTGTGTCATCAAAGGGCTCAGGCACAGAGCTGGCAGGGAGAAAGTCCCATTGAGAAGGGACAGAGATGGCAGGAACAGGAGGAGGCAGACAGAGGACAGACAGAGGCATGAGGGGGACCATTAAAAGAAGAACTGTGCAGTGAAACACGAAGAAAAAAGAGTCTCTAAGTTACCTCAGCAATTGTTAGAAAACCACAAAAAAAGTAAAGCGCGAATGAAACGTGATGGAAACCAGCTCTGAGCAAAGAGAAACGGGCTTAAGAAATGAGGAGGAAGTGAGCTGTAGCGAAAGTAAAGCAAATAGTATGGACAAAATGTCCACCCAGCACCTTCAGGTGCAGCGAGAGGAAGGGAAAAGTTGTCCGAGAGCAAAGGGACTCTAGATAAAGCAGCGGAGGGACAGTTGTTCGATTGAGAAGCCGACCCATCGCCTGGAGAAATAGCTGCAGGTATCTGAGCTGGAACTCAGAGCAGCAAACAGAGACGGCGCAAGGGGATGGCTCAAGATACAACAAACCAGCCTAAGAAGAGAGAAGCCGCGAAGGGACCGTAGAGCAGTGGGTTCTGGCCTAGTGCCTTGGACGTTCTAACTCCCGATCCTGGTGCTCCATGAATGTAAATCGTTGCCCAGGAAGTGGGTTGAATTCAGCCAATGGCAGTTACTGTCCAGGCGAGCTCAGCAATAGTTCCCAGTGTGACCCTACCCAGCAGTTCCTGCTACACCAGCGAACTCTGATTCACTTGTGATCATTCCCCACTGAACTGATTTCTCCTTCCCCAGCTGATGGAGATAAAATGCAATTGGCCTCTAGGTCCCCTCAGCCTCTCCTTGCCCTGCCCCAGCCACCTCTCCACGGGCTCCTTGCAGATGGATCCGCGCCCTTGCCCTGCTGAGAGGTGGGGGACCCCGTGTCTCTTGTGTCACTAGCCCAGCTCTCTCGGTCTTGGATTTGGGGGGAAAGCTTCCAGGAGACTCTCTCCCTGCAACCCCCCATATCAGCCTCATCACTGGGGACGGGGCGCAGTGACCGTGCTGGGGTCTGTGTCTCACAGCCTGTCTCCTTCTGCCTGCAGAGCCCAAACCCAGCATCTCCCTGCAGCCCAGTGGGGGTGTCGCCCTGGGGGGAGCCGTCACCATCCGCTGTGAGTGTCGGTGTCGGGGAATGAGGTTCCTTCTGAGTAAAGCTGGAGACCTGGAGATACAGCGCTCGATGGATCCCGCTGGGAACGTGGCTGAGTTTCCCATCTGCAACGTGAGCCGGAGAGACGGAGGGAGCTACAGCTGCCGATACAGCACCAAGAGGGACCCACCTGTCTGGTCGGAGCCCAGCGACCCCATGGAGCTGGAGGTAGCAGGTGAGGTGCCCGACTCCATGTCCCTGCTCTCAGCCCCACACCCAGTCCGACACTCAGGGTGTCTTGGCCCCTTTGGGATGCTCAGAGCCAGGCTCTGCCCTGAGCCCTGGGACCAGCTGAGGTGACGCCCAAATGAGGAGCAGGGACGGAGTCACTGGGCGGTTCCCCAGCCAGGGGGCAGCAGCAGCCGCTGGCGTTTCAGGGACGATGGCTGGGTGCTCGGTTCCCTCCTTCCCCCGTCCCAGCCAATGCTCATTTTCATTCCACAAAGGGATCCGACTGAGTTGGGCCCCAGCAGCCGGATCCCCCAAAGGCGGAGCCAGAGGGAGAAAGTGAACAGGAGAAATGGAACAATTCATCCCCCAGGGAAAAAGGGCTCCCCGCACAGACGCCCACGGGGCCATTCAGGACGTTTGGAGGGGGATGGTCCCTATAGACAGAACTGATGGATTCAATTCTTCTAGATAGAGGGTGATGGATAGATCCATGGGACGGACGGCCACGGGTCAGTGGGGACGGACGGCCACGGGTCAGTGGGGACGGCCGATCATATGCCCGTGAGAATATGGGTCCTTGGGAACTTAGGGTGGTGGACAGATGGGAGCACATCTGGTGATGGATAGAAAGATGGACTAAGACCTTGTCTACACGAAAACTGAACCCGAAATGGCAAATCCTGTGTGGTTCCCAACCCCCACTGGTGATCTCAGAGCGACTCTGGGCTGTCGGTATTAGCGCCCCCTGGTTTGATTCAGCCCCGGTTGGCAGACAAGCTCCCCTGCAGCTCTCTAGACGCAGGGACGTTCCTCCCCCGAAATAGGGACAGCCGCACCCAGACCTGCTCCGCAGTGACTCCAGGTGTGAATGGCACCTGGCTGGGGCAGGGACCGTCTCTGTGTCGTGTGTCTGTACAGCTCCGAGCACACGGGGGAGCTGGCCCAGGACAGGGGCTCCTGGTAATTAATACTAAGCTGTATCTGCGCTCAGGGTCTTGCTGGGCTGATCCTCCCATTCTGGGATGCCAGGGGCGCTGAGCCGGCCCGAATCCCTGGGTCCGATCCTCTCCCCAGGGACTGCGGCTCAGCCCGGAGAAGAGCCGCCATTGCCAGTTGGTGGGAGGAGACGTTCCCTGTATAAGTAACCAGAGACACCAGGACTCTAGTTTTCTCACCCCCACCCTGTCCCTGACACATGCTGGTTCTATTCCTGCAGGGGGAATGACTCAGCTGGGAATGACACCGGCTCCCACCCATCCAGGCAGCACGGGGCCAGGTACTGGGGCTGGGGTCAGGAAATCAGCATCAACACCCCCTGAAACAGGTTTGTGCTGCCCAAGGAGCCACCCCCGGGTAGAGCCACTAAGGGCTGGCTGGGTGGGGTGTGGGATGGGGGCACTGCGAATGCCCCATCTGAATCCCTCAAGACTCATTTCATAGGCTGGGGGGTGTTACTGGACAGATGCCAGATTAGCTTGGTGTGGGCAGAGCCTGGGAGAGCTTCCCCACAACACAGAGCCACATCCCGGGGGCCCCCCAAACCAGGTTGCTGTGGTGCCCACCAGCACCACAAAGCCACCCGTGTGGGGCACAGCTTGGTGCGTATCCCCCTGGGAGAACAGGGCTGGGGCCGGAGAGCCGGGGAGAACAGCCCTGTGTATCCTGTCTCTCTGCCTGTGCCTGCAGAGGGCCCACGTGAAAGGCTCAGAAGCAGGGCTCCCCATTCGCTGGGGTGCTGCCCAGTGGAGCATTAACCCTGGAACCTACCAACCCAGATATGGTGTTAACACCTGAACCCACCGATTCAGAGTGACACCTTGTTGATTTTTGACTCTGGAACCTAATGATGGCTGTTGCGATGACAGCACCATTATGTCTTCTGCTGCTGATCACTTCAGCAGGGCCTGGTTCTCCCAATGATCTCAAAGTGCCCTCCCTGGCCAGAAGCCCCCTCAGACTGCCATCCCCCCCCATATGATTCCTATGCAGAAGTTAGCTGAAGATACTGAGAAATTCCTAGGACAGGGGCAGGACCTGAGTGGGGGGTTTGCTGCAGGATCCGGGCCCAGCTGGCTTCACAGGCATGGGGCCTGAGGTACACACCCCCTACCCCCACCCCAGTACAGCCCTCTGCCTTTGGGAGTGAACCCCCTGACCACTATTACCCAGAATCCCCTCTGCTCCTGCCCCCCGCCACTAGCCCCATAGAATGTTCTGCTGTGGGTCCATGGGTCCTCGAGGTAACAAACCAGCTGCTCATGGCGCTCACGGCCTGGTGCTGCTTCCCAGGTGGATCAGAACCAAGCACAGCACCAGTTCTGACCTGCACCATCATCGCCAGGGTGAGCGCAGCAGCTGCCGGCCTCTTCCTCCTCCTCCTCCTGGCCTTCCTCTGCTACAGAAGTGAGTGTCCCCCTCCTGCAAGGGAAGGGTTAAACCCACTGCTAAGCCAGGCTGGGAAGGGGTCATGGCTTGGATGGGAGACAGGCCAGGAAACCCAGGGGGTGGGGCAATGGCCCAGCAGGGGGCGCTCTCCCCACAATCAGGGCTGGTTCCAAAGCCCCTGGGCAGCACTAGGGGGTGCTGTGCTGCAGGGATTGAGGGATCAGTGGGGGGGCATGGTGCAGGGAGCAGGGCAGGGGGCCGAGCAGGGGGTGCTGTGCTTCAGGGGGTGGGGACCTACCTCTAGGGTATCCAGGCTCAGCAGCTGGAGGGGGGCAGGGTTCCCCCTGATGGGGGGGGGGGAGGATTCTGTACTGGACCCCCAGCCCCACTGCCCTATAGGGCTGAGGGGCAGGGCTGGTACACGGGATCCAGGTCGACTCATGGACAATTCTGGTTCGTGTCTCCGCAGGGAAAGGACCAGCCCCGAGACAGAGCAGGTGAGACCCCAGCTCTGCTCCACACCCCCGATCTACCTGCCCCAGGACACAGGACTCCTGGGTTCTCTCCCTAGTTCAGGGAGGGGAGTGACATCTAATGGTTAGATTGGGGGGGCTGGGAGCCAGGACTCCTGGGTTCTCTCCCCGGCTCGGGATGGGGAGTGGTGTCTAGTGGTTACAACAGGGGAGGCTGGGAGCCAGGACTCCTGAGTTCTGTTACTCTCTCTCTCTCTCTCTCTCTTTCTCCCCGTAGGGAGTCCGAGGCTGCAGCCACCGTCTGTAAGTCACACATGAGGGGGCAGCCATGGAGCAGGGGGGAGGGGCAGGTGTCCCCTGGCAGGGGCCGTGTCCTGTGGGGGGGCATGCTGATGTGGGGTGCAGCCCTGACTCACTGTGTGCTTCTGGGGGTGCCCTGTCCAGCTCTGTGCCTCAGTTTTCCCTGCTGCACCATGGGGCTAGTGACCTTGCCCCACCCCAGTGTGCTGGGGGGCAGGTGGGCCAGTCTGCGAAGGGCGCAGATGAGGGGTGGGAGGTTGGGCCCGGGGCCCTGATCTGTACCCAGCTGCTCACTGGGGGATGTCTCTATTTCACAGACGCCCTCATGGGCAAACGGAAGCAGCTGGATGTCCTGGTAAGTGCCCCCCACTCCTCACCCCCCCAGCACCAGTGCACCATCCAACCTCCCCTGCCCCCCTGCCCCCGCCATCTGGCCTTGCACAAGTCCTACTAGAGCCATGCTGGCCCCCAGACTCTGCCTGGCCCCCGCATATCCCCTCAGGGCAGACACCGGAGCTGGGGATCAGCAATGGCGCTCCCCCCTGAGAGGGGCAGAAGACCCAGAACACAGAGAATAAGAGCCTGACCCTGCACCCCCAAACTCACCTTGACCCCCTCAAACCTTCCTCCAAACGTTTGCATTTGTCTGAGATTTGCGGAGGGTCAGCGGAATTCCATGGGGGGCAGGTGCTGGGTGGGGGGGATTTCCCTGATCTCAGCCCCATGGAGCTCTGTGGGCTGGAGTGGGCGTGGGGGGTGTTGCTGGATTCCCTAGGTGGGGAGGAAGAGCAGCTCTCTGCTGGACAGGGAAGAGAGTGCATGGTGCGGGGTGTGTGTGTGCTGTGTGGGGCATCGCTGCCCCCTGGTGGCTGAGATCAGAACTGCCTGGTGTGTGTGTGTGTGTGTGTTGCTGTTGGTAAACACACACACACACACACACACACACACACACAC